AACCAGGCCTATGTTATGATAGTCAATATGTAAAGCCAGAGAATTGGTGGAAAAGGTGTATATGCTGAAAGTAATGAAGCGGCAATGATGAGTAATAAGGTATATACTTGAGGTTATAATGGTGGAGAACAGTCTAATACCAATTCAAATAACTCAAATGGAGGCTACAAACTTAGAAACTCCTTTGGTAAAGCTGCAATTTGGTGTGATTACTGCAAATACAAGGGTTATACTAGAGAAAACTGCTTCAAGCTTCATGGTTACCCCTCTGACTTTAAGAACAAGAGAAGAGGAGGAGCTCTACATGCTCAAGCCAACAATGCTGTCAATTTTGGTATTCCAGCCTTAGAGCCACAAGGACAGGGGCATCAGGTGGCAACTACTCCAGCTCACTTCTTTACTCAGGAACAGTATCAGCAAATTCTGCATATGTTGAACAAAGACAAGGAAGTTGAAATTGTAGCCAATGTTGTTACTGTAGGGCCAACAGGTACTATACATGCATTCATGACAAATTTAGTGCATAGTAACTGGATAATAGACACATGTGCTACAAACCATATGGTTCATAGTTTGAATCTGCTAGAGAAGTATGATGAAATACCAGAGAATGTCAGGAGTAAGGTTAATTTACCAACTGGAGAACATGTGTCTATCACTCATATTGGTATTTGTTCCTTTTTCAAGGATAAGAAAGTTCAGAACATTCTTCACATTCCAGAGTTTAAGTACAATCTCCTTTCAGTGTCTAAACTCACAAAGGAATTGAGATGTTTGATAGCATTTTACCCTGACTTCTATTTCTTTTAGGAACTCTCAAGTGGGAAGATATTGGAGATTGGTAAGGAAGATCTTGGCCTGTATATCCTCAAGGCAGATGGCAGACAAGTATCCAGCCAACAAGCTCCTTCTCAACTAATGTCTCTTTCTACTTCAATTGTAAATACCAGGTCATGTGACTCAATAAATGTTGTAATCTAGCAGATAATAAGTCATGTGCTATATCCTCCTTGTGGCATCAGAGGTTAGGTCATGCCCCTTTAAAGGTTTTGACATTTGTAAATGCTTTGCATAACATGCAGTTTAGGCAGCACTATTATACAGTGTGTCCTATAGCCAAGCAATCAAGAATACCATTCCATGTTAGCTCTTCTTACTCTAAATCTGTATTTGATATTGTGCATGGTGATATTTGGGGGCCCTATAGAGTTCCCACTCATGATGGAAAAAGATATTTTCTAACTCTAGTAGATAATTATTCAAAATATACTTGGCTTTTCCTATTGCACTCTAAGTCAGATACTATTGAAAAACTTTGTAGCACTGGGGGTCCACAAAGTTTGGCAGTAAGTTCAAATGCTTAAGAACAGATAATGGAACAGAGTTTCTCAATGATTAACTACAGGCCTTATTGAAGAATCAAAGTATAGTACATCAGACCTCTTGCATATATACCCCTCAACAGAATGGGTTGTTGAGAGAAACAATAGGTCCATATTAGATATGGCTAGAGCACTCAGATTTCAAGCTTACTTGTCTCTCTGATTCTGGGGAGAGTGTGTCTCTACTGCAGTATATCTCCTGAACATGTTGCCTACTATTTTACTACAAAGCAAATCTCCCTTTGAGAAGCTCTTTCAAAGGAATCCATCTGTGCAACATCTGAGGGTATTTGGAAGTCTTTGTTATGCTACTCAGGTGAAGAAAGGAGATAAATTATGTCCCAGATGCAATTCCTATTGTGCACATGGGCTATTCCTCCTCCCAGAAGGGTTATGTTCTCTATAACTTGTGCTCCAAAAGAATTTTTGTCAGCAAGGACATTGTCTTCAAGGAAGAAGTGTTCCCATTCAAACATATATCTCCAAGTGCATCTCCTTTATTTCCTGTACTGGAGTTTGTAGAGCAACCAACTCAATCAGCTGTTATTCCTAGTGATGCTTCCTTACCAGCAATATATCCAAGTCTAAACAATGCTAATATTGTTGACACTACTTTAGCTTCTCACACTCCTGGTCACTCTCATCTGTCCACACCTGTATCTCTTCTTGCATCAGCCTGTGAACCATCTGCCTCTCATGTGACACTCAGGAAGTCTTCCAGACTTACTAAACCACATGTGTGTTTAGCAGACTATGTGGTTCCACCAAAGAAGTTAGCTTGCCCTTATCCTATTTCCAATCATGTGGCCTATGATTATCTGTCTCCTAGCTATAGATCCTCTCTGGTTGCATTCTCAGCCATTGTGGAACCTAGGTCCTTCTCAGAAGCCAGTCAAGATCCTAAGTGGGTTGAGTCTATGCAGGTTGAGATTACTCTTGAAGAAAACAACACTTGGTCCATTGTTTCCCTGCCTCCTAGGAAGGTTCCTTGTCACGACCCCAGCTGATGGGCCGCGACGGGCACCCGGTACCTTACTCAATCGAGTACCAACGTAACGTATCTTTCTTATTACATCATTATATACACGTGACATACGGGCCTAATAGGCCAACATCATCATTTGTAGACTCAAAATATAGGCCGACAAGGCCATACAATCTTTTACGTACACGACATATGTCTATAAGCCTCTAAGAGTATATAAATATCATAAAGGTCGGGATAGGGCCCCGCCATACTAATCAGTATATGTCCTAATCATACTGACCACATAAGCAACTCTGAAACAAATGGAGTGCACCAACATCTTCCGCTGAACTGATCGCCTACTTGGAGGACTCTCGACCTGTCTATCGAGACCTGCAGGCATGAAAGGCAGCGTCCCCAGGAAAAAGGGACGTCAGTACAAATAATGTACCGAGTATGTAAGGAATGAAAATCAGTAATAATAGACATGAGAGAAATATGGAGTAAAAGACTCGACATGTACGTCTGCATAGCTCTGTGAATCATTTCATTTTTATAATGTCATGCATGTGCATATAAATGTCATACCATGCATTGGTATATGCGTTCATAACATCATCAAGCCTCTGAGGGAAACCCATCATATCATTTCGGCTACTGTGGGCAAATCATTAACGTATACCAGCTGATCAGGTGGTGGTGCGTATATAATGCCATAACCTTTTCTCATATCCCATATACATATAATATACGCGTATATAACGGCATCTGGTCATGGGTCAATGTACATATATAAATGCATGAAATGCATAAGAATTACGTTCATAAGATTTCTTGGATTGTCATAAAATCAATATACATTTCGGATAAACTTTATCAAATACATATTTTTCTGAGACCCATGAACAGAAGATAAAATAATAATTCACATGGGGAATCAATAACGTAGACACCCCTCATACTTCTCTGAATATAGTCATTTATAAAAATTGTGCGTTTACTCGTTTCGTTTGTATCGTATGGATCATGCCAAAAAGAAAGAAGGGGTAGCCTTAACATACCTGAGCCGATTCTCTTGACAATCTCTTTAACACCCGTTAATTGCGACAACACGTAACGGCGGATCGAAATAGGGGAAAATTCGTATGATGTTCTTGAGAAAGATTATACCGTGCTTCCTTAGAATTGCATCTTTTGCATTATCGAATCTTGTATGAATTTTTCGAAGCAATTTCACGTTTCCATCTCTTGCGTTCTTGGTCACTACTGGATTTGGTCTTGATTACAAGATATCATATTTTGGCTCGGAAGAATCATTAATCCTTGGAGTTTTTTTTGATGCATAACTCACGCATCCAATTCTCAAGATTGGAAAATATACTTACTCCCAATAGTTGGTCCAGCAAAATGAGTCCAATATTCAAGTTTGGTTCATTTTATGCCACCGCCTACTTAATCACTTGATTAAGGGGCAATTTGCTGCCAAGATTTTGACATCCCATGTGAAAGTGTTGTCCCCCTAAGATTTATCCAAATCTTTCTTAGATAATTGTCCACAAATTTAATTTACAAGTTAATCTCCCACTTAAAAATTCATAATTATCCACATAATTTCCTAATTAATTAGGTAATATCCTATTACCCAATAATTAAGAATTATCTCAACTTACTTAAATTACTACGCACTTTTAACATACCTTGTACACCTTACTATCATGGCCATGTGGTACCTTGTATTGTACTAGTCCATAAATACCGGGTATTTTAGCTCGGGCCGTATTTTATCCCACACCAACAATCTTCAACGAAACTCATTTTCTTTGATTCGTTCACCCTTTAACCTTCACGACACTTTACTTATCGTGTGTTATAAGTAGCATAAATGCTTATAACCTCAAAAATAATCTCATCCCCGAGTCTACGTCGATTAACTTACGGCGAAGCTTTTACGTATGAAAATGCGGGATGTAATATCTCATTTTCGAGCTTTCATCAATTTACTTATGGTATATTTTTACGTACGAAAACATGGGGTGTAACATTCCTATAGGTTGCATGTGGGTATTTAGAGTCAAATACAAATCCTTTGGTGAGGTGGAAAGGTATAAAGCTAGGTTGGTGGCTAAAGGTTACAACCAACAAGAAGGATTGAATTATACAGAAACCTTTTCCCCAATAGCTAAAATGGTCATTGTCAGAGCTATAGTCTCCTTAGTTGCTGCTTCTTGTTGGTATGTGTTTCTGATGGATGTTCATAATGCTTTTCTTCAAGGAGATCTTCTAGAGGAAGTGTACATGCATACTCCTTATGGATTTTCAAGGTTGGGGAAGTGTCAGCAGGTGTGAAAACTACATAAGTCATTGTATGGATTGAAACAGGCTCCTAGGTAGTGGATTCTGAAGTTAACTGAAGCATCGGTAGATATGGGTTTTGTTCAATCTCGCTATGAGTATTCTCTTTTTACACAGAAAGTAGACTCAGAATTAGTTGTCATCCTAGTCTATGTGGATAATCTCCTAGTAACTGGAGCAGTCTAGCATTGATCAAACAAGTCAGGAAAAGTTTGCAAGAGAGATTTAAGATGAAAGATCTTGGTAAACTCAAATACTTCCTTAGTATTGAGTTTTCTAGGTCTCATGAAGGCATAGTAATGTGTCAAAGGAAATATACTCTAGAACTAGTGTCAGAGCTTGGCCTAGCAGGTAAAAAGCCAGCAGTTACACCTTTAGAATTCAATCATAAGCTTGCATCCATTGAATTTGACAAGAAGATACAGAATGATAATACCACAATGGATAAGGAACTTGAAGACAAAGGAAGCTATCAGAGGCTAGTTGGCAGGCTGCTCTACTTAACCATGACAAGGCCTGACATTATCTTTATGGTTCAAGTATTCAGCCAATACATGCATGCACCTAAGTTGTCTCACATGGAGGCTGCTTTAAGAGTAGTAAGGTATATCAAGATCGCTCCTGGCCTTCGATTGTTCATGTTTGCTAAGGCATGCAAGCAGTTAGTTGCATATTGTGATTCTGATTGGGGTGCTTGTGTGAAGACCAAGAGATCAGTGACAGGCTATGCAGTGAAATTTTATGAAGCATTGATATCTTGGAAGTCTAAAAAACAAGAAAGTGTTTCTAAAAACTTTGTTGAAGCAGAATTTTGAAGTATGGCTTCTACTGTAGCAAAGGTGGTGTGGCTAACAGGATTCTTCAAGGAATTGGGGACTGATCTAGTGCAGACTATACAGCTTCATTGTGACAGTAAAGTTGCTATACAAATTGTTGCTCGTCCTATCTTTCATGAAAGAACCAAACACATTGATATTGATTGCCATTTTATGAGAGAAAAAATTGTACAAGGCTTAATTTAAACATGACATATCGGAACAACAGAGTAACTGGCAGATTTGTTAACTAAGGGTCTTTGCACAAGCCACAACATGAGTACCTATTAAGCAAACTGGGTATGAAAGATATATTTTATCCCTCAGTTTGAGGGGGAGTGTTGAGTATAGTGAGTCCCGATTATTTATGTATTAAGTATAGTAAGTTGTAACCACTTACAGTTAGTTAGTTGTATAAATATAAATAGAGTAGTTTACTAGCTTTGTACTACTATTCATTTTCTTCCTTGGAGGTCAATAACAGAATGAGCTTCATTTCAGTCTTCCCCTCATTCTCTCACCTTCTAGAACTTACATTTCTTCTATAGCTAAAGCTTATCAATATTTTTTCAGCATGCTTATTATGCCTCGTTTACACTATGTTCAAGTACAGTATCCCCCTATTTCTGGTAAAATTATTTTGATTAATTAAATTCATAGTTCATCTTATTCCATCTTGAAAGGGTTACTAAAAGAAATTCCTAGAAAAGCCTTGTCTCCCAACTTCAATTGAACGGTTGCCTTATGGATAGTACGTTCATGGCAATAACAGGATAGGACATTCCTTCTTTTGTTTTCATTTTAGCAGGAAGGGTAAAATCTTTGCCCTTTCTTCATGAGATTGAAGATAAAATTGAAGCTTACATATAATTCAAAGAATTTTTTGATCGTCGCGACGTCGTCATAAGTTATATAAAACTTTCTTATAATGAGTGTATATTTGTTAATTGAATAAGGAAAATAAGTTGTTTGTTACGATAGGTTAAACTGCATCGACCTGCGACAACTAATATAATTTTTCTTTTACTCTAGGTTATATAACTTAAATAAAAAAAAAGCTATTATAAAGTGAATAATTAAGATACGCATCAGGGAATCGGAGTTGTTCAATTGGTTGACTATTTAAACTTTTACTTTGTTGGTGAGGGATCGATTCTCTATCTTAACTCTCATTTTGTTAGTCAGTTTCTCCGGCCCCTACTCCTATATACTCCCTCCGTTTCAATTTATATCAACTTATTTCCTTTTTAGTCTCTGCAAAAAAGAATGACATATTTCCTTAATTGAAAACAATTTAGCTTTATACAATAATTTATAGCTACACAAAATATATGTGACTCGTTTTACTCCACAAGTTTAAAAGTCTTCTCTCTTTTCTTAAACTCCGTGCTCAGTCAAATGGATTCACATAATTAAATTGAAGCGAGGGAGTATAATACATAATAAAATAAAAAAGATCAGCTGACCAATTTAACTGTATTGAAATGAGATTTTCAGGAAACAATGAAGTTCCTAATATAGGCCAAGAAAGAGTTTACTTCTCTGTTTATCATATCTAATAAATAGAGACATATTCAGCAAGCAACGAAGGATGATGTGAAACCACTTATAGTCATTAGCTATTTACCCATAATAATGAAGTTTGTTAACAGTGATTTTGACGGAATTGTTGCGTGCGTGAGTGATGTTGGAGTGTTAACGAACTAAGTTCGAATAAAGGGAAAGTAAGAAAACAGAGCTGGGGTTGACTCCGCTTCAAAATTTATACCTATAGAACTTATCTGGTAATCAACATGTTATTTAAAATGTAGGATATTTCCTTCTTTATAGTTTCCCTTGTTGTAAGAGAAAGAGAGTAGAAACTGTAGGACTAATAGATGGAAAGTTACAGCATCAGGATTTCTTTCAATTCTCAAAGGACCTTGCCTTTTCTTTTTATAAACCTTCTCATGTCGTCATTTTAAAAACAAATATAATTAGTAGGATTTACTTTAGATCTAAAATATGCTTCTTATTTTTGGGAAATCTCGACTCAATCAATGGAAGATATTGATATTGAAGAAAGACGACCAAGAAAGCAACGCAGGATAAATTGGTTTTTGAAGGCTCTATCAAAAGAGTGTGAAATTGAAGGTAATATGCAGTATTAAATTATCCACCAAAATTTCTTACGTTTTATTCGACGGATGATATCAACAGGGTAAGCAACAATCTGCCCTATGGTTCAGTAACATCACCATATCTAAGCTTCGTTGTAACACTCAATTTAGTGTCCACATGCTAAATACAACTATTTCTTCAATGTAATAACTTTTTTGGCATCATCAATTACTATTACTCTAAACTCATTCTTATTCAATTTTATATACACTAAATCTAGTAAAATAAAAAAGATGAGCTGACCAATTTAACTTTATTGACCGCAATCTAGTACTTTTACACACATTGATTGAACATTTTCTTCAAATTGACTAAAGCTTTCATGATTGGTTTTGTTACTGCTTGATCTTATCTTTTTAGTTGATATACGGAAATTAGTTAGCTGGAAAATAGTACTTTGCCTAGGAAACCTGAGACAGACTTCACCTATTGCTATTCGAAACGTCATGCTACAAAACATAAGAATTTTTTTTTTCCTTATTCGCAATCATAAATCGCTTCGCACTTAATGAGTAATGATCTCACTTGATTAAAGTATATGTTTGACCACTTTGTTTTTCTTTATCAATAATTTTTCTTCTCTTTCTCTTAAAAAAAAAAAAAAACAGTAACGTAATCATTTACTGGATGAAATAGTCTCGAGGTTTATTTATTCCCGCGGCAATGGTTTCTACAGCACAAAAATACAGTGTCCAACTCTAAAAGTAGCTCTGCATAAACAGTACATATTACTTATCCTGACATATTTATAGGAACAGAATTATATATCTAGAGCAAGGTCTACAGCTAGCGTTGGCAATAGTCATCAAAACTATTTACAAGTGGAGCAATTAAGGAAGGAAAATGAAAATTGGTCCTGTGTGTGTCATTTTATATTTGGATTTAATTTACATACGTTGATTGTATACTTGAATTTTACGTCGTGGATGTTAACATGTTATAACGTATTAACGTATATGATCACTTTTTTTTCTATATTACCAAATTAGGTTTATAATAGAAAGTTGCATGTTGTTGCAAGTCATCTCAGCATAATACTGTAAAAAGGTTATACGTTGTCGGTGCACAAGAATTAAACTTTATTTCAGTTTTGCCATTTTCTTGAGTAAGATTAAAAAAAATTATATTTTATAATTTTACGTATAGATCATATTGAGCGACTAATAGCCTGTTTGGCCAAACTTGTTTTCTGGTCAAAACTGTATTTTTGGGCCAAAAATATTTTTTCAAAGTTACGGTTTGGCCAAATTTTTAGAAGAAAAAAGTATTTTTGAGTATAAGCAGAAATTATTTGAAAAGTATTTTTTAAAAAATATACTTAGAAGCACCTTTTAAAAGCTTGGTCAAGCACTAATTACTGTTCGAAAGTATTTTTAAATTATTTAACTAAACATAAACTATTTTTATCAAATGTACTTTTTTTAAATACACTTTTCAAAATAAATTGATTTTAGAAGTTTAGCCAAATAGGCTATAACTGAGGTAATTCTAAGTTAGAACAGTATCTCATGTTCCAACTTCTGTGGTAGGCTTCTATTTGAACAGATTTACCATCTTGGCCCAAATTTATCAATAGGGTCCAAGATCACATTTACTGGCTAGAGACAAGGCCCAGGACCTAATTTTACAGTTATCTCTCTTCTTCATTTTTTTTTTTGGCTGCCACAAATAAACTACTGTAATAGGGAATACCAATATGATAATTAACAATAATTAATACTTCGAAGTATTTAAACGAGCAAAACATGGAAATGGAATGACCTTACTCACTATAACTTATGATCAATAGTTATCTGGTCAGTTTGGAGCTCTAACATAGTAAGTTGCACAAAATTTACTCTATCTCTCTCTGAAACTGTTTGTTGAACTAAATTTTTCTTCTTTGGGAATTATATATAAATAATGAGAATTTAAATTTTGAAATTGTATTTGACTAGCTCTATTCCAACTAACAATTTTTAGTTTTTGGAAGGAGAACTTGATATTATCATGAACATTTAATCAGAATAAATAACTATTGAGAACCACTAGATTTCTTTCTTCACACACACCTAACCACCACAAAAAGAATGAAAAGAAAGGATTTATTTAATGAACTTGTATGCGGTTTGTTTGGTCATGTGGGCACACTACACCGTCCTAATGTCAATTATTTATGGAACAATAATCACTTAGTCGCTATCCTTGACAATAAAGTAGTATTTAGGCCAGGTGTTATTAATTACTTCCACCATATGACCTAACTACTATTTTCTTCATCAATCTTTTAGGTATGCTACATTCTTTATTCCATAACTACTAAAAGAACGTAGTTAATTACTATATCTGATCACAACTTTTGGACGTTACCTAACCTCTTTTTTTAACTTTCTCAAAGTACTTTTAGAATGCAAGGTATCTTTTCTTTAGCCCAAAAAAAACGAAGTGCTGGCCATTATTGAAAAGTTTGCCGGAGGCAAATCTACAAATGTTGGCCATAAATTTTTAAATTTATTTTAAAAAATTTAATTTTGATGAAATTTAGTTTGACGATGAAATTCTGTTTGGACATAATTTTTCAAAACATATTTCACCCTTTTTTTTTTTGAAAAAACATGAAATGTGACTTATACTCATAAGTTTTTAAAACTATCAAAAATATCCAACAATCCTGAAGAAAATTCATACAAAACAAGCAAAACAAATTTGAAGAAAATTCATACAAAACAAGCATCTGGAGAAAATTTATACAAACATTAGCAGATTTTAACAAATTACCTTCAAAATTAGTCTTTGCGTTGCATTGCCACAGATAGACACAACAATTTTGGCGAAGGTTTTCTTCTGTTTATAGAGAAGGACAAAGCCGCGTGAGTTTAATGAGGAAAAAGTTAGTAGATATGGATTAGTTGGGTCATAATAACAGAAAATGGACTTTTTTATAAAATATAAAAGTTTGAGGCAATTTTTAAAAAAAAATTAATGGAAATAATTTGGAAAAGAATTGGCAAAGTACTTCACTGTTAAGTACATTGTAATTCACTGGTTATACAAAATTTCTTCGGAAGTTACCATTTTGACGGCATGAAAGAAAATGTATTAACCAGATCTAACTCCAATAATTCCCAGTTCCGTTAACAGTGGGAATTTTGTCAGTGAAAATTTACCACTGAGATAGAGACACGTGTTGATAATATCATTTTAATTTATATAAGCTTATTTTTTTTTTAGCCTGTGCCAAAAAAGATTACTCATTTTCTTATTTGGAAATAATTTATCTTTATAGAATAATTTATAGCCACATAAAATTTATATGTCTTAATTTATACTATAAATTAAAAAAAAAATTAAATTTTATGTTCAGTCAAATGAGTTAACATAAATTGTAACGGAAGTAGGAAGAGGGGGAGTAAGTAGTACTTAGCTTTTGTGTGTCAGAAAAGCTTTCCAAAATCTCTACCCCACCCACCTGTCTCTCTGTATATAAACTTTAAACTTTCCACCGATAAAATACAAAGTAGTACCACACAACATCCCATCATCTAAACATTTTAGTAGAAGCCACACTCCTTTTCCTTTCTTCTTAAATCTTTAGAACCATCTCTGTCTAAATACTTTCTTTGTTTCGGTTTAGGTACTAGGCAAGAATCTGAAAGTACTTTTATTTGCTTGGATTAGAAGAATAATAAGAAGGTGACTTATACTATCGTAATCCAAGAAAAAAGAGAGGAAAAATGGATATGGACTTTTGGGCTGCAAGAATAAATTCAGCTAGGCACCTCTCTGCTGTCCAAACAAACCATCTCAGGAATTCTGGTATCTGTCACATGTTTTTGTCTTAGGAACTGTTCTTGGACTTCTTGCCATAGTTTTTAAGTACAGAGCTAATGATCTTTTGAGTATTTTGGATTAAAGTACTCCATATGTTTATTTTCTATTGGCTTGTTCATTAATTGGTAATTTACACACTTTCATTCCCTTCCTTGCCTAATTTAGGAGTATCATATTGTATCCTACTAAACCTATTTGGATTTATCAGTTATATTTACTTTCTTCTTTAAGGAGGGTATTGTGTGGTGAATGAGGTTTTAGGACCAGAAAGATTCTTTAGAGACTTTATCATATTTGCAGATGCTTAACTCCTTGCTTTTACTCTTCTCTCCCAACTCACTTTTGGTAAGATTTCATGAGTAGCTAGGGGGATCATTTTAAATGAAAAAATGAGTCAGACTTCCAACATCTACCCTTTGGATGGATTCATTTGCCATTTCACCTTTTTGACTTGGAAAAGATTCAGACTTTCAACAAATAACATGACTTGCTATTCCACTTATTTATGCCAGAACTTTTTGCTATCGTAATTTAGTTCCTAAACTTTAAAGCTAATGATGGTTTCTCAAGCAGATAATCTCTCAAATGTGGATAATACAGAAGGAGAAGAGGATGTTCAGGCCTGGTTCCCTTGCCCTTTCTGTTATGTAGAAATTGAAGTCCAGATGCTTTGCAACCATTTGCAAGAAGAGCATTGCTTTGACTTTAGAAACGCGGTAATGCAGACATCTGATAATTGTTCTTATGTTACTTTCTTAAAGAACATATGTATTGGTCAATTGGAAAATGAACAATGAAAAATACTACAATCTGCTGATTTTGGAAAGTATTTCTTCTTGTTGTCTTGAACAGGTTTGTCCCATATGTGCTGGAAATTTAGGTAAAGATCCTCTGGGGCATTTTACAGTGCAGCATGCACAATCAGTAAAGGTAAGTACATTTCAATAAGAAACACATAAATATATGATTATTAGCACCTAATGAATAAGCAAACCTCCCTTTTCCCACCTTGTTTTGCAGAGGAGGAGAAAATACCAGAAGTCAGGCTTCTGGAACAATGCTTCAGCAATAAGTGGCAAGGACCCCCATGAAATAAATTCATTCTTGTGCACAAATTTAATGGTTGGCCGCTACAATGTACAAGAACCTGCTCCTGATCCCCTTCTGCTGCCATTTCTCTGCAGTACGGCTCATTCTGATTCTAAAGATGGTCTACAAGATGAGTCTCCTGGTAGTGTTGCTGCTGCTCCTGATGTAGAAAGGTACCAGTTAAGGAAATATGTTTTGATTTGCCTGCACATTTATTCATTTTCTGTCAGACTTCCTGCAAATCTAGCATAAAATAAACTGGAATTTCTATTGTTAAACGTGAAAGAATATGGAAGTAAACTTGCAATTCCTAGTAAAAGATGTACCTTTCTGTATTAGTTGTCGCTGGAATAAACAAAGAATCTATGTAGGTGGTGCTCCTTCCCTCTTTTGAGAAACCAAAGCAAGCCAACTTCTTGAGAAACCAATGCATGCTATTCAAAGTAGATTCAGCTTCAATTCTGGGGTGTATCTCCTTTAGTGGCCCATCAGGTTGAAGTTTGGACTTATCGTCTTTGGCATACAAGAAGATAACCAGAGCCCGAGGGTACTAGTAGCAAAGAATCCTTAAGTGAGTAAAAGATGATCAACTGTGGTGATGAAAGGGCAGTGATGGACACCTTAAACATGAAACAAAGGTACCATGATTTGAAATGTCTCATGCATTCTACACTCAGGTCTTACACTACATGCTGAGTGATACTAAAATGGACATTCTTGAGCTATCATAGTTATGAAAAATTATTGTTCTGTGATTTGCTTAATTTGAGCAGGCAGGAGACACTCTAGATTTCTCAACTGTTGATGTGCCGAGGTTGTGGGTGTATAATTATATAGATAGCTAAAGAATTTTTCTTTCTCCTCTCGAACCCCTCTGCCAACTACCCTGTAACATCCAAGAAAAGGGGAGTGTCAAGAGGGAACTGGTAGTGTAATTAATGATGGCTTTGACAGTAGGATGACATAAATCTATTTTCTTCTGCAGCAACAAGCTGCCCGTATGTGATCCAGATCTGGAAGAACAGTATGAAGCGAAAAGGCGAAGAGCGGCATTTATTCAAGAGCTTATTGCTTCAACTATCTTCTAAGACATGCATAACCAGAGGGAGGATTCAACCCAACGAAGAGAACAGCTTTAGACCTTATGTATGAGAATAATGCTTCACAGAAACATGTAGGTGCTATATGTATCCCATTACTAGCTAAAGTCTCGGAATATCTAATAGTAACATCATTTATGGCTAGAAGCTATTTACACGAAGACATATGCACTGCATATTATATGTCTTGGATCAATTTTAGTGCAAATTGAAATATTTTTATGTCTTATCATTTTTACCTCAGGTGCATAACACACCCACATTTGCTACTTACATCCTTCTCGTCCTCTTTAGACATTTTCCTGATATAAAGATTACAGATTAATTTATATTCTTTCTCTTAAAATGTTCTTTTTCAGCAAACATTATAAATTGTCATTGACTGCCAGGCAACTTAACAGAAGTTGGCAAATTGGCTTTGACATATACGCATTGAACAATCTAACATTTCTCTAAGAGGTGCGGGTTATTAACTCCTATATCTGAGTGCAAATTGAACCATTTCCTCTACAGATAGTGGGGTATCCACCCCTATAGCTATGTTCTATTCCGAGGAATAAAATAAAAATAGTCTTTTAGAGAGATGACTGAGCAGCTCAGTTGATATGTTGTAATCTGTTGCACTGAGAGAACAATATTCTGGTTCAGTTGGGCAAACTGGATTGACAGCTTGAACCGCAGCCGAAAGAGTAGACTAAAACAAAATTCTCCTTTAACGTAGTCATCAACTTGTTTAGGAAAATATATACACAAGCACACATTTGTTTAGACATAATATTTTGCGATAAAAGAACTACCAATGAAAAGGGCACTTGTAAGTTGTTTGGACAAACTGTTTTAACAGAGAGAGACCAAGCAATCACTTCCTTTTCATTTTCCAATTTTCAGAGGTGCTTAAATTTCGCATACCATTAAAATTTGAGTTTCTAATTTTCGAATGAGGTACTAGTTTCATAGATCATAGTTTAGGAATAAGCTTGATTGTCTACCAAAAGACCACCTATATTTGCTACTGGTTCTCCTTTCTCCTGTTGCTCCAACATACGTTTCAGTTTTACTATACCTTTCTGACTTTCTCCTTCAAGTTGATACTAAGTCACAAGGAGAGCTGAATCCAGAGCATTTACCTGATTCCATAAGCATACTGATCACCTTTGCTGCAACCCAAAAGCAAAAACACCAGATAAGAAAAGCCCTTTCAACTCATTAAAACAGCTACATTCTAATCTCATCGAATGAAACTTCTCCAAAGCAATGCTCTTTACCCTTTTATTCTCCAGAACAGCGCATCTTTATACTTTTATGACTTCTTGCAATGAGTCAACTACATTTAAGGAACATCACCTATCAAGATAACCCACTACTTGCTGGTTGTACATATGTTGGCAATCATAAAGGAAGCTGTGAAGGTTAACGGTTTACCAAGAGACCAATGTTTTAAAAAAAAGATACATATAATGATACCAAAATCCAGCTTGGTTAACTGAATTTCAAAAATGAGAAAAACCATTGACTCACCAATTCAGAAAAGATCATATCACTGGCATGGTAAACTGGCAAAGCACCAAACACTGGACAAGGATGGTCCATAGCAATATCACTGGCATGGTCCTTTGCAATACCTACGTGAACTCCATTCTCATTATTTTAAATCTTAATCACTGGAAAATTCAGTAGCATCCCAAATTAACTAGCTCGTTGACAGACCACCGTTCCCAACAGTGAAAAGTATCAAGATTAATGGTATTGGTAGCCCACGTGTATCGACCAATATCATTTGACTGAATACAGACAGAATGGTCTGTTCGGCCACCATTTGCATTATAAACTGAATACCATGCCAAGTAGGGAAATGAAAGATGATGAGCAAAGTGCAGATCCTTGACACTTATCCAAAGCAAGTTATTTTTGTAGCATTTTATGCGCAAAGACAAAGGCCCTGGAAGTAGTCCTATTCCTCTATATCATAGTTCAGCAATAATAGTTATGCTTGAGAAGGATAAAAGAAACTGAGTGCATCTCAGTGATAATAGTTGTGCTTGCATTAGAGACCCCAATTTCAATCAACCAGAGTACAGGCATATTAACTAGCCAAATAACCCTTGGAACAATGAATAACTCATGGATGACATACAAGGGGTGCAGCAGGGAGAAGGAAGAAATATATGGACTTAACGACACTTGCCATCGCAAATGACATCAAACCAAAAGTATTTGAAGAAATGTTGCTCCACCATTCGTGGCAACAGGAGCTGTGCTTGTTTGATTCAGAACAAAAGGACTGCAAAGCTGCAGTTGATAGGGGACCATAGGAAAAAGCTCGGTTAACAGCTTGACTTACACCACTTAAAACAGTAAACATCACATTATTCAAAAAGTTACATGCTATGCCGTTCATCTTCACCAGATGCTACAAAAATCAACTCCACATCAGAGGTTGAAGCCAGAGGCATCAAACACAGAGATATTCATTAGCTCAGCTTAGTAAAACATGCTTCCTAGTATAACAGCCAGCGAGAACATCTTTCAAGCATGCTTACAGAAACAAGTAAGAATACAGCAATTGTGAGCATCATTACAGGAACAAGCATGAACAATGACACAATGGACCATCTAACGCCAAGGATAATGACAATTCTCATAATGTAATTCTAAGCAGCTCATGTAAATGAGTAAAGACCATTGTCTGATTTCCAAGACAGAACCAACCAACCATCTCAGATAGTTCTACCCAGGGATTAAAGCCAGAATTGAGAATAACAATTAAGCATCACTAAAACAAAGTCTTATGAGGTTCTATTCCAGAATTTTACTTACAGGGTCAGCTCATGTCCGTCAACTCTAGTTTTTAAACAACATATGCTGGTAAAAGAAATTATCTCAGTTTATCTTCTTTTTTTTGGGTGTTCCTAGCAGCATCAATTCGTCAAAACAAATATCAAATTCACCAAACTTCATTGACATGTTAAACTCGAGTTTCAAACAAAAGTATGAATTTGTTCTGGCAGAAAGTAAGGTGCACAAGAGACAAAATGTTCTCCTTCCTTGCAAACAAATGAAAAAACAAAGCACGAAACTGAAGCAAACTCGCAAATGTCCACTAGGATTGACTTATAACAAGATTTCTCCAACTGAACTAGGATTCTAAAAGATAAGAAAAAAGTAACCAAAAAGCTGCATATATGACAATGGATTAAGAATACTGTGTGACAGGGGCCAGACCATTGGAAGGGAAATTGCTCCGCTGCTGGTTGATCACTCGATAATTTTCTGAATGACACCAGCTCCAACAGTCTTTCCTCCTTCCCTGATGGCAAATCTCATCCCTTGTTCACAAGCGACCGGCATAATGAGCTCAACCACCAAGTTCACACGATCACCGGGCATGACCATCTTAGATTCCTCTCCTTTGTCAGTCGTAATGGAAGTAACCTTTCCAGTCACATCAGTAGTTCTCATGTAAAACTGAGGCCTGTACCCCGAAAAGAAGGGGGAATGCCTACCACCCTCCTCCTTCTTCAACACATACACAATAGCTTCGAACTTGGTGTGAGGGGTAATCGTTCCAGGTTTTGCCAACACCATTCCTCTCTGAATATCAATCTTTTGAATACCTCTCAACAACAACCCCACATTATCTCCAGCCATTGCTTCATCCAAAATCTTCTGAAACATCTCAACCCCGGTCACCGTAGTACTCCTAGTATCCTTCAAACCTACAATATCAACAGTGTCTCCAATCCTAACAGTCCCTCTCTCTACCCTCCCTGTCGCCACAGTACCTCTACCCGTAATGGAAAACACATCTTCAATGGCCATCAAGAAAGGCAATTCAGTTTGCCTTACTGGAATAGGAATATAACTATCAACAGAGTCCATCAACTCATAAATCTTATCAACCCATTGATTTTCACCTCTCTTAATACTAGGATTAGCCATCAAAGCCTCTAAAGCCAAAAGAGCAGAGCCAGAAATAATAGGAATATCATCACCAGGGAACTCATAACTTGACAATAACTCTCTTACCTCCAACTCAACAAGCTGAAGCAGCTCTTCATCATCGACCTGATCTTGTTTATTCAAGAACACAACCATGTTAGGGACACCCACCTGCTTAGCGAGCAAAATGTGTTCCTTAGTCTGTGGCATGGGACCATCAGCACCTGAACAAACAAGAATAGCACCGTCCATTTGGGCAGCACCAGTAATCATATTCTTGACATAATCAGCGTGACCAGGGCAGTCCACGTGGGCGTAGTGACGGTTCTCAGTCTCGTACTCAACAGTAGCAGTGTTAATAGTAATACCACGAGCACGCTCTTCTGGGGCGGCATCAATTTAGTCGTACTTCTTGGGGGCTGAGTTTCCCATAGAAGCAAGAGCCATGGTTAAAGCAGCGGTTAGAGTAGTCTTTCCATGGTCAACATGGCCAATAGTACCGATGTTGACATGGGGTTTTTTCCGCTCGAATTTTCCACGGGCAGCGCGGACAGTAAAACGGCGGTGGCGGTGGGTGGAAGTAGAAGAAGGGGTGGCGGGTGAGTGGAGGAAAAGGGTGGAAAAATTGGGGGTAAAGGAAGAGGATAGGATAAGCTTGGAGGGTTTAGTGGAGGAAGGAAGAAGAGGATTGGGGGTGTTGGAGGATACAAGCTTAGTAGAGGAGGTGGTGGTGGCTGCTGAAATTGAAGCCATGGCCGAGAAAGGGAGATTGAAGTTGGGAGAGAAAAGAGAGTTAAGGATAGAGTGACTGAGAAATGGGATTTGAAAGAAATGGGGGAGAAATGAGGAGAAGGTGATAATAGTGTTATATCCCTCGGAAGGAAAAAAAATAGGGCCGCTCATATACTATTTTTTGGGAATTTTTCTATCCATTTCTACCTATTTGGATAATATAACACTGCGCCAACAACTTTCCTCTTGGATAATATGAAAACCACCTCTCCAAAAGTCATTTGTGATATTATACTAGGTTTGTTATTGTTGTTGTGTCATGTGAAAATTCAAGATATATACTAGATTTTTTAATTATTTGGTGTACGTTAAATCATAAGAAGTCTATGTGTTTTATTAGTAAGTTTTACCATGGAAACAATTTATTCCTTGTTTAACCAATTAAATCTTAAAAAGTTTATTGGCACGTATTTGGTGTTACATATTGATTTGATGTTTATTATTTTGAAATAAACAATTTAAAACTAATCATTTTTACGGATATGAAGTTAATTTATTGTGATATGCGCAATAATCCACTAATAGCATATTTGAAATATATAAATAACTCGAGAATAAAGAAAGGAACACAGAAAAATTGTATATGCTAAATTCAATAAAGAACTAGTACTTTCGAGCAAATTAAACCCTCAAGTAAAGAAAGTAAACAAGATTATTGCATTTGGTTGTCACTGACCACAATAAATTTGGTGCAGACGCTATTTGAAGTTTTTATGATCGAAAGATTAGGCAATATAGTACACAATGACATCAACTTTATGGCGATTTTTGCACCAGTAATGTTATGAAGGAGAGCTCCAATTCTGTGGCTAAAACGAAAGAAAATGATTGAAAGTGATTCATTCATTAGAGTCTCTCTTTGGGCCACGTTTCTACTTCAGGTACTCTAGTTTCGAGTGTACAAATTTACAATATTGGTTCCAAGTCTTGGGCAAAAGATTGTCCTCGTTTTAAGCCGAAGCCACTCTGATCCTGCACCTATTGATCACCCCGTTTTTTTAATTTTTTTTCCCTTTTTTTACAAACCGAATATCTTTAAACCTGTGTCAAATATATAGTACTGTCCAATTTATTATGTGATTGACTGAGTCTAAAAACTGTGATTTAAAATAATACAGGAAAACGGGAAAGAAACAAAATGGCCATTCAATTTGGCATGCTATAAAGGTTGCAGGAGGTTGGTTTGAGTTCAATTCGCCAATTGCATACAGGCTACAGCCACACACACAGAGAGAGATTGCTTAACTTTGCACAACTCTCGAACTTCACTTGCAATAATTTCATATGGAAGAGAACCAGAACTCGGAATACAAACTGTCATCTCTTCAGTTACGTATCCAACAATTAGTCAGTCGCTGAGTTCTTCATCATCAGCCAAGCAACGATATATATCAATGAATTGTCATTGATTCGATGAATAACAAATTATTTGTTCGTCAATTATCATGGAAAAACAAAAATAGAAGGGGCAACAACAAACATTAGTCATCCGCTTAAGAGATCAAATTATCTCACAAACTAATGATAATCTCAAAACCAAAGTAACTCTTTACGGGTCTATAGAACATATCTTATAAAGTTAAAGAACCCTATGAAGGTAAATCTCAATAGGCATGATTTCAAACCAATTGACCTTTGCTAAATACAAATGTAAATATGTACAAGTATATACTTCACGAAAATGCAAGAACTCAGTGTAGCTGCAGCTTGAGGCATCCCATACGTGAATATGAGATTTCAAACTGTTTCAACGGGTCAACAAACCCTTCCGAAGGACTACGGAATCCACTTTTCGTGGGCGGCATAAGTTTGAATATGTCATCTAACAATAAACTCACCGGAGGCAATTTGAAGCACCACTCACTGACAGATCACTCTCCTGCCTCCTCTTTCAAAATTACGGCAATTCCCAATCCTGAACTGATGTTGCCCTTGACAGAGCTGAAACAGCGTCTAAATATAGGTCCATTCAAAACACTTCCAGCTACTGAATTTTGCTTGTAACCATTGCCAGCAACTCTAATATTTTTCAGCATTCTGGAATATCTTGAAACCTTTCAGGATAAGTAACATAATTCGCAGTAACAGTCAATCAAAAGTAACATGATTGGCACATTCAAAGAACAATTGGTAGTTATATCCACAGTTAAATAGCAAAAGAAAAGACAGCATCACTTACATCTGAAAAGAGGAGCTTGGGTCTGCAGAGTTTGTAATCGAGCAGCCTCTTTCATAGCGCAGCCTATGGGGAGACAATTTGTGACCACAAATAGCACTCACTCTGCTGTGTAACTCAGGAGGAAGTTTGTTCATAAAATCTGAGATAGCCAAGTCATGTTTCTCTCTAAGCTCATCTAGCTCCTTCTGCTGCTGTTCTAGTAGCTTCTCAAGTTTCTCCACAATTTCTCCAATGTCAGCCGAACAGTTCTTACTGAGATGATTGTTTCTTCCGTCTAACGAATGACACTCGGTCTCAGAAATTAAATCAGCAGACTGGTTCTTATCACCTGTGTTTGAATTGGGAATTACACCAGCCTCTTCATCCATATCATTTTCAGTTTCATTCTCTTCATGCTCAAAAGCATCATCACCTGAACTGCTTCCCTCTTTCTGGCTGACAGATGATTGTTCGTTTTCATCAGTCCAGCTACCTTCGGCAATTGGTGAATCTGCCTGTGACAGGTTTGAAGGCCCCGGTCTGAGCGGAGAGCTCGCACTACTGGTTGCTTTTGGTGAATCAGACCAGTACTTACGACCTGAAGGAAGTCTTTCCAACACAAGACCACCAGAAGGAGTGGAATCAATTGTTGAGGGGGAAACATCCTCACAAGCTCCAGAGATACTGCTCTCAGAAGGAGCAACTTCACGAGCTTCAGAGGTACCGCCCTCAGAAAGAGTAACTTCATCAGTAACGTGATTGCTAGAACATTCTTTTGGTTCCCAATCTGGGATATATGACCGGATCTCAGAATCAATCATATCAGCAATAGCAGAGACGTCTTGATCTGTCAGGTCCAACTCCTCAACCATTTCACTAGCAACAGCATTTGCTGTATCAACTTCAATATCAAAGGGGAAGTGAATATTCCTAATATGACCTGAGATGCAGGCAAATGTCAAACAACTAATGAAGTGATTCGTCTTAAATTGGTGGAGAAATAAGGGACGAGGCATAACCTGTTGAATCAGTTATTCGCAGTTTAAGAAAAATTGTGTTTAGGTCCTTTCTTTGGCCCTGCACTGTGAAATCTCTGCTTCCTTCAGCCACAGGATCCTTGGGACTTCTTCCACAGTCAGATTGGTCATCACTCTTATCTGCAAGATCCCAAAAGTGTCATTTTTTTCCAGACATATCAGCATAGGGTTAGCTGAAATCTTCTAGTTACCTGCATGTCTGGGGTGGGAACTCAAGGATCTAGATATGCTTCCAGAATCTTCGTCTGACTGAAGAAAGGGGTCCATCAATAGTTCATTAGCAGGCAGCCGCTCAGAAACTTTTGCAATACATTTTTCTATAAATGCTTTGACTCGAGGATCCTTCACTTTTGCCAATGATGCGGGCTTAACTCCCTTCAAACGTGGTATAACCAAGATCTTAGCATTGTAAATACAAATTAATGATACAAGAAATCAAGTGTTAACTAAACCAACGTTAGAACATATATACATCATTTGACCAATCCATAAAGTATCAAAACTACAGTCAATAGAAGAATTAATATTGTTAACTAACACTCAGGATCAAATCATCAAAGTTGGACCCCTCCCAGTAGCAACCCCGAAGAAAAAAAAATATCAAAGGGTGGATTGATTATGTTAGTTTATAGATATGTATAGTGTAGTCTTGTCCCACATTGGAAGAGGAGTAATATCTCCTTGTAGTGTATAGCTATAAATAGGAACCTCTTGTATTGTATTTATCATCCAATATCAATAACATATTTTCTCCCGTGCCTTCTTACATGGTATCAGAGCATTAGTGAGAAAAGATCGATGTGCGTCATTCCAGCGTTAACCGGGAAGAAAGAACTTAGTCATCGTGTAATTTTTCCGGTGACCTAAGGCTTGTCTAAGTGAAAGTCACTTTCTGTCGGTGTTGTGCTAAAACCAACACCACCACGAGGTAGATCACCCTCCGACTACCAACCCCTGAAATTTTATCCGGCAGAAAAGCCGCCACGCTCCTCCACGCGCCGGCAACAACTTTTCCGGCGAGGGTTCCGGCCATTTTTCCGCGAAGCTTCTTCAGGACAGTGTGCTCTCCTCAAAATTCCGAGCCTACCCATCTAATTCAAATCAAATTCCGGCCACTTATATATTTTTCCGGCGTGAACAGTGACCTTTCTGGCCATTTTTTGAAAATATTTCTTCAGGACAGCTTGCTCGCAAAGGAATTCCTAGTCTATCCATCCTGGTTACAACAAATTCCGAAAACTTTGGAATTTTCCGGCGAGCTACCGTGTTTCCGGCGTGAACAGTGTTTCCGGCACAGGACAGTGTTCTGTTTTCCTGCTGTAAACAGTGTTTTTCAAGCTATTTCTTCAGTTTTCTCACATGAGTTACTTATTTCCACTATTTCAAGTTAACCCTACTACTACAAATTGTAGCGACATGGGAACCGATGCTTTGAATAGTCGGATGGTTTCTTTAGCAGAGTATATTGAGTTCCTTCAGTATAAAGCATG